CCTCAAAAGCCAGAGAGGAAACTCTTGCTTACTACCAACACCCACTACTACAAAATTATATTTTTGTTTTCTTACTCTTTGCTGCTTTGCCAAAAATTCCCATTTTCTCCTTCATGCCAGTCTCCCTGATAAACCTGCCACACCCCATACCCAAATCCTCCCACAGCTCCACAATTTCCTGTTCTCAACTCCAAGCACTCCTGTCCTCCACAGGCCCATTCCACGAGGGTGATGTCCCACACAGGGCACATCCAGGTGCACCTCCCTGCACAGTCAGAGATGGGAAACTTGCAGACCCCAGCTGGAATTACACCATGCTGGGGTTGGCTTTGCACATCCACTGGTGCAAGTCTGAGATCTGAGGTCCCCTTAGCTGCAAGATGCACCACTCACAGCAAGCTTTAGTAAGTAACTACTCATCTGTGTGTCTTCAGGCTGTAGTAAGTGGTGTGTACCTCACTTTTTGTGACACCTTGGAGGTGAAAAGTTCCCAGGAGTGCTAAAGCAATTCTTTAGATGCTGCCAGGAAAACCTCATAACCTTCAGATTTCCTTTTAATCCACTGATCTTGCAGGATTTTTCTACTTTTCCTACAAATACAAATGTCAAGGCTGGGCTGAGACATGCACAGAGCTGCTCCAGGTACAGCTCCCACTGCTGTGTCACTGATCCTGCACAGCCCCTGGATCCTGCACCACAGCCCCTGGATCCTGGCTCCCTTCCTGGCAGGCAGCACTTGCTGAGCTCCCAGGCTGTAATTCCTTTACAGCACAGGCTGCTGTGAGGCACAGGAGCTCCTGCTTCCCCTGAGACCATAGCTCCAGGAGCTGAGCCTGGAATGCTGTCAGATGCCACAAGTACAACCCAGGCATGGAACTGTTCATGCTGGAAAAGACCTCTGAGGTCACTGAGTCCAACCAACATGGAAAACAACTGTGATCCCCTCTCATTCACATCCTGTGTTACCTCCCATACCATTACTGGCTTCAGATGATGCAGGGAATAAAACAAAGGCAGAAATCAAATGTGGAAAGGTTTCTGCCCTTTTCAGATGTATCAACTCCCTTGAGCGGTACCAAGGGAAGCTGAACTTCCTCGTGGTTTATGGAATCACAGAATGTGCTGAGTTGGAAGGGACTCCCAAGGATCATCCAACCCCTGTCCCTGCCCAGACCCCCCAGCAATCCTCCCTGGGCATCCCTGTCCAAAGGCTCCTGGAGCTCTGGCAGCCTCGGGGCTTTGTCCATTGCCTGGGAGCCTGGGCAGTGCCAGCACCTCTGGGGGAAGAAACTTCTCCCAGAATCCAGCCTGGCCCTGCCCTGGCCCAGCTCAACCTCAGGGTTAATCAGTCCAGTGCCCTTTGAAACCACTGCAGCCAGGTACTGACCTGTAGGGAAGTGCCCACCAAAAAACACATTGAATATTTCTTCTGGTGTGATGTCTGCTTCGAATTCTGTGTAGTAGTTGTAGTGCCTGGCCTGGCCAGTGCTGACATGCTCGTGGTCACTCCCGAGTTCATCGTAGCGGAGCCGTTTCTCAGGGTTGCTCAGAACTGCAAAGGCATTGCCTATTGCTGGAGGGGGAATTAAAACCACTGTTACATTCCCAGAGCTCACACTTTTGGAAGTGGAGCAGCAAAAAAAGCCCAAACAAGCCTAGGAAATTTGTGCTTGACCAAAGCTTGAGCTACTTCTACAGAAGATGTGTAACAGCCCTGCCATTACCTGTGATGAAAACCACTTCCTGCTGTCACTGATGCCAGGAGAAACACAGAAGTGTCCCAGTATATGGGGAGACTTGAAATATTTGTAAAACTGACATGAGGGTTCACTTCAGCCAAGAAATTGGGTGAGAATGGAGCATTCTATCAGCTCAAGCTAAATGCAAGTTTGGTCCAAGTGCACCTCCATATCCCACAGACAATTAACACAAAGTTAATAACTGTGGCACCAATTAAAATGCATAGGGCTATCCCAAGTTTTTGCTGCTGGCTGAGATGCTCCTGAAGCTGTGTGGTACATATATTTCACACCTCACAACCAACCACTCAGAAGGGTTTGCTTGGCTCATCTTCTTTGATCTCTGACAGAACAAGTTCATAGATAAATACAACCCAAACACAAACAAATAAAGTAGAGCCCTCCAGAAGCTCCTTGTTTTAACAGACTGAATGAATCACTGGCTTGCCTGTGCTGGGCTGCATAGAGAGGGGAAATATGTATGAGTTTAGACAATAACACTGCAGCATAACTGAGAATCCAGACACAGCACACTGGATTCAATTTCATATTCCCATGCGTATATATAAAAATAAAAATTTATTCCTGACAAGGAGCAGTTATTGATGACAAACACCCAATTCTCCTGCATGGGCAGTGTCAGTTCCAAGTTCTGAACCTTCTTCAGTATCATGGAATCCCAGAATGGCTTGGGTTGGAAGGAACCACGAACACCACCTCATTCCAATCCCCTGCCACCAGCATGGACAGCTCCCACTTGACGAGGTTGTTCCAAGCGCCATCCAAGTTAGCCTTGGAAATTTCCAGGGATCCAGGGGCAGCCACAGCTTCTCTGGGCAACCTGGGCCAGGGCCTCAACACCCTTAGAGGGAAGAATTTCTTCCTAATATCCCATCCATCCCCACCCTCTGACAGCGTAGAGGCCATTCCCCCTCATCCTATCCCTCCAGACCCTTGTCAAGCTCCTCAGAAATATCTGGGAGCGAGACCTGGGATGCATTTCCCATCGTTTCTAAGGGAGACGTGCATTTTGCAGACGGAAATGCGAGCCCTGCCGAGCCGCAGCAGGGCTCCGTGAGGACGCTGCAGTGTCCGTAACCCCGCCCGGCCCCTCACCTTTGAAGGCCTCGGTGGCTCCGGGCGCGCGGTTCTTGTCGGGGTGGAACTTGAGGGCCAGCCTGCGGTACGCCCGCTTCAGCTCCTCCTCGCCGGCGTCGCGGCTCACGCCCAGGATCTCGTAATAATCCCGGCACCGCTTGATCCTGCGGGCGCACACGGGGTTATCCCGGGGCGCCCCGGGCCCGCTCCCCGCCTTTCCCGGGCTCCACCCTGCCCCTCCCCGCCGCCCTGCGTGCCCCGCGGGCCGCGCCGCGCTCACCGCTGCACCCCGTGCAGCTGCTCGGCCGTGTAGGTCATGTCGGCCGCGGCCGCCGCCGCCCGCGCTCACCGCCCGCCGCCCCGCGCCGCCATCTTGTGCGCGGGGGCTGCTGGGAGCGGGCCCGCGGTGCCGCCGGGGCGTGACGTCACGGCGAAGGGCGGTGACGTCATGAAGGGCTGTGAGGGGAGCGGGAGGTCATGGAAGGGTGGGATTGTGGAATCATGGAATCATGGAATTATGGAATACCCTGAGCTGAAGGGACCCACCAGGATCATCCAGTCCAGCCCCTGTCCCTGCCCAGACCCCCCAGCAATCCCCCTGTGCATCCCTGTGCCCAAAGGCTCCTGGAGCTCTGGCAGCCTCGGGCCGTGCCCATTCCCTGGGGAGCCTGGGCAGTGCCAGCACCTCTGGGGGAAGAGCCTTTCCCTGGTGTCCATCCCAAAGCTCCCCCTGCAGCCGTTCCCTCCTTCCCTGAGCTCTGCCCTCGGCTCCTCTGCTGCAGCTGAACCAGCCCGGTGCCCTCAGCCCTGCCCGGGTGGGGCTGCAGAGCCTTCCCCAGCCCCGGCCCCTCCTCTGGACACCCTGGAGCAGCCTCAGAAAGGCCTTGGTGGCGCTGGTGACAGCAGCTGGACGTGAGCCCAAGGCAGGCAGGAGGCCAATGGCCCCTGGGCCGTGCCAGCCCTGGGGTGGCAGCAGGGCAGAGCCGTGCCCATCCCCTGTGCTGGCCCTGCTGGGGCACCTCGAGCGCTGTGTCCTGTTCTGGCCCCTCACTACAAGACATTTCCTCTTGCCCTCATCACTGCTAATGCTGTTGGTTGTTTCCCCCGATCCCAGGCTCCTCCAAGCCCCGGTGTCCAGCCTGGCCTTGGGCACTGCCAGGGATCCAGGGGCAGCCCAGCATCTCTGGGATCCCTGTGCCAGGGCCTGCCCACCCTCATTTTAAGACCTTCAAGGGCCTGTGGGAAGAATGAGGTCAAGGAAGGAAAACTAAAGCAGTGGTGAGATCCTATGGAATTTCAGAGGTCTGGGGAGATTTGTTAAAGCTTTACTTCCACTAAAAATCTACTTGTTGTGCTCGATGTGTGGAATCACAGGTCTCTGGGAACTGGAGCTGTCTAGGTCCATCTATCTGGGAATTATCTGGGACTCTGTTTTAAGGAAATTCACCAGTTTGGTGGAGCTTGGCTGAGTGACAACATTTTACTTTTCATGAATGTTACCAGAAAAACTTCATTTATTAAGAAAGAACGTGTCAAACTTCCAGTGCAGATGTCATAGGTTAAAAGTGTGTTGGCTCTTACACGGAGTTTTGAAAATGTTGCTTTTTTTTTTTTTTTGTTCTGAACATTTCCTTGCCAGCTGCAAAGCACAGCTGCCTCTTGCATTGCACAAGGGCATGCTGCTCTTCCTGGTCCCAGGAAACTTTGGGGAAGCAGTGGTGGAGATCACACAGAATCACACAGAATTGCCAGGCTGGACAGGACCTTTAAGATCATTGAGTCCAACCCAGCCCCAACACCTCAACCAAACCCTGGCACCCAGTGCCACATCCAGGCTTTGTTAAACACACCCAGGGATGGGGACTCCACCACCTCCCCGGGCAGACATTCCAGAACTTTATCACTCTTTCTGTAAAAAACATTTTCCTAATATCCAACCTATATTTCCCTTGAAAGCTCTCCTGGCAAACATGGGCTGCCACACCCCAGGAGCTGAAGGAGCTCAGCATTTTGCTTGTGGCCATTCATTTTACACTGAGATAAACCCTGGTCTATGCAGGGACTTTGTTCCTTACACTTCAGCTGAGCACGTGGAGAGATCACAATCTGCCTTCCCGAAGCTCTGTTGTTATTATTAATAATAATAATAAAGTGTTTAAGATGGCAATTTGAATTTCAGCAGCAGCTTTAATTCACAGCTCTCCAAATGCTTTACAGCCAGGGATTAACGAGGTCTCACAACAACCCTGTGAGGTAGGGGGATGTGACCATCCCACTGCTGTGGGGACAATGAGAGCACCGGGCATAAGGGGCTTGGAGCAGTCGTGCTGGGATTTGACCCAGAACTTGGGCATTTAAGTCCCATCAGATCTTCAGCTTCGGTTCAGGCTTTCCCAACACACAGGTCTGGCTCCACGTGGGGCTATGCTGATTAATGAGCCCGTGACTGCCTGGCACAGACTATAAAGGCCATCTAAGGCAGAGATTTATTAGTGGAGTGGATGGTGCCTTGGTGCTTCTTGCTGCTGGAATTATCCGAGTTTTTGAAGGCATATCAAAAATAGAGTTAGATATCAACCACCGAGAGTGGCAGGCTGTAACTGGAGAAAGCCCTTAGGCCCCAGGTGGGGAAGCTATGTAGGACACTAGTGTAAATGTACTGATCAGAAAAGACATAATAATTTATATATGAAGTCCACCCTTGCTCTTTCCCTGAAGGAAAAATAAAAATAACCTAGAAAGCCACTGCTGGTTGTCACACGTCAGCTTCAAGCTCTGTGCTCTTGGCTTCATAGCACCTGCCAAAAGAACAAAACTTCATCAGTTCATCAGTGGCCTGTCTGGGCTGACAAAGGCAGTAGAGCAATGTGTTCTCCCAAACTCAGTCCCACCTTTAAAACAACTGAAAATGATAAGAATTCCTCATGTGGGATGGACCTGATGGGGATGTGCTTCAACCACTTGTAGGGCAGGAGCAGCTAAGCTGGGCTGGAGGGTGAGACCTCAATTTCTCATAGACCTCTCCATTTAATGGCAAACCCCTCCAGCTTTGCAGCTGGCCACAGGGGATGTCACCTGTGTACATGAGGTAAACTTGGCACCTCAAGTTCAGACAGCCCAGGTAAACCTGAGATGGGGACTCAAACTTTTCAGCAGGCTCACTGGAATTAGTTTCGACCTTTAGAAGTTTGGTGGCAGCTGATTTTTGTGATATTTCTAAAGGAATTAAAGAGCAAAGAAATACCTCAAGACATGCTCTTATCCAGCCAGAGAAATGATCCCCAGCTGATGCCCTAAAAAGCAAGGCTGAAAAGGGAAACCTTTTCTGATGGGGGGTAGTTCATGCTGTTGTTGGTGTTGATGTTCTTCATGGAGATCAGAGTGATGCTGTTCCCCTTCTGGCTCGTGTCTGCTGAGCAGCTGCCAAGGAAAGGAGATAATTACTGTAGGAAACAAGAGAGGGGATCACAGAATCTCAGAGTCACTGATGTTGGAAAAGACCTCCAAGATCATTGAGTCCAACCTTTGAACAATCACCACTTGATCAAGCAGAACAGAGCACTGAGTGCCATGTCCAGGTGCTCCTTGGACAGCTCCAAGGACAAAATTTCTTTGCAGAGAGCTGGAGACAGGCAAGGCTAAGGCTGGTGTGGGGGACCAGGTTTGGTTTCCACCATCCACTGAGCTGCCGTTCAGATTCAGGCCCATCTATAGGAAGTTACAAGGCTTTGGAAAGTGGAATTCCCCTTTTTTCCTACCTTGAGGGCTGGGACGTGCATTCCTTGCCAGTGGGAGCTGGATGACTTTGGGGTCAGGGAACCTCAGGCTCTGTCCTATTTTCTGGCATGTTCTGCCTTGGTGGCTTCAGATCTCTTGGATCATGATCATTCAGGACATTTAGTGACCACTGACACTGATGCAGATTTGGTACCTAAATAATCACAGACTTTGCTCCCTATGTCCCTGGTCCCTTTCCAAAGCAGGGTTTAGGAAACTATCAGATGGAAAAATAGCAGCAGTATGTTTTGGTCCCTTCCAGCCCTGGTTCCTGCTGTTTTCCCACATTCAGCCTCTCCTCTGGAATAGCAGTGATGGACCATGGGGTTCTGATGGACCATTCTCTGCTTGATGCTTCTCTTCCAGAAGTCTCTGAAGTGGGGCTCCTTTGTCCTGCTCTCACTGGGAAACAGTAATGGGCATCTTGGAAGATAACTGAGATCCAGAAACTAGAGTTTAGACCCCAAGACTCTATCTAGGCAAGAAAGACAATCAATCTTCTTGGGGAAGGTGGGGAGTCTTCCCTCAGTGCAGCTTTGAGATGAGCCCCCTAAATATTGACTTTCTAGCTATGTCTCTATCAGAGCATGAGGTATTATCAAAGCTGATTTTGCTTTTCTAACTCTCTCAAAGATGTCTTGACAAGCTTCCTTCCACCTGAAATAATCAAAGCAGACTCTTTTCCTTGCTAAAATTATCTCTGGGATAAAACAGGCACTCTCAATCAGATGTGGGTGGCAGGAACAGCCTTACCTCTCTGATACCATGGAAGTTCCTGGTTTCTGTTTGTCTGGGGGGAGAAAAGCACGTGGTGATGTAGAGGTTAGAAGTCATAAAATAAGTCAGCTCTATTCTGAATTACTTCATGCAGCGATATAAATGAAATTGGAGACACTGTGGGGGAAACTTGGGAGCTGATTAGAGAAAACCCTTCAGCTAATGGGACGTACAAGCAGGACCTGCTCGTACTGCTGGGCTTTAGGAAGGATTCTGCCTTGCTGCAGAGCAGCCTTGCCCTCTGCTGGGGCACTGTATCGTGGGAAATGGGATTCCTAAGGAAAAGGAGTGTCAAACTCCATGATTTTTGCTGGAAGAGCTGCCCACCTCTTGGAATTTGAACTGTAGGGAATTTGAGACCGCAGCCAGATGAGGCTCGGCTGAGGCTCTAGCGAGGAGGTCACACTGCATTCCTGACTGCTCAATCCATGTTCCAGTCTGGCTTCCAAACCTCCCCACCAAGGTGTAAGCTTTTCAGATGCATCTTTTAGGAATTGCCAGATCCACATGGAAACTGGTGACTTGTTGGTTAAGGAAGCACAGACAAATACCTTCCGAGTCCTTGGAGTGGTTGCACTTGAACCTCAGGCTGACCACGCTGACCAGGATGATGACCACCACTATCAGGATAACGACAAAGCTGATGACACCTGGGGAGAGAGGAAAGAACTCTCTGAGTAGCAGAGAGACTCTGACATCAAAACTTGGCTAGGAAGTCAATATTTTCATTAATGTGAGCATGGTTCGTAATAGGCAAAGAAGTAAACAGTTGTTGGAACAAATAGCTTTATCCTCCTGTGTTTTAACCTCAAAGGGCTTCTATGAATACTGCATCAATAAATAATTAATTGGTAAGGCAGTGCCAGGAAGGCAGAAGTCAGCTGATTACACTGGGGATTGATAAGAGTCCGTATGTTCCTGCTGCAGTTGGTAAATCTTATCCCGAAAGTGTGTAAAGCCAGATAAATAAGTAATGTAACAGGGAGAGACAAAGCTAGAGCTGAGGGTGATGTTATCTGTCCCATAAACTATCTTTAGCCACTTTAAATCAAGTATAGATTTGATACTGACATCAGGCCTCAATAAATCAAACAATTCTTTGCACAGGAAATTTGTCCTGCTAAGAATCCCTCGGACTTAGAATCCTGGAATGGTTTGGGTTGGGAGGGACTTTAAACCCATCCCATTCCACCCCTGCCATGGCAGGGACACCTCCCACTGTCCCAGGCTGCTCCAAGCCCTGTCCAGCCTGGTCTTGGACAATTGCAGGGATCCAGGGGCAGCCACGGCTGCTCTGGGCACCTGTGCCAGGCCCTCACAAAGTTGAGTGTCCAAACCAGCATGAAAGAGAACCCCCTCCTGTCCCCAGGTGGCACAAGACCTTACCAAAAGCTGCCACCGTCAGTGGTGATTTCTCGTCTGTCGGGGTGGGCTCGGGCAATTGGCTGGAGGAGTTGGGTGTTGGGGTGATGGGTTCTGAGGCACCTACAGAGGGGAAAAAGATTTACATAAAAGTCATTCTTCCACGGCTGGGAGAGGATTCCTCTCAATCCTAAAGGCCCTAACTCCCACTTCACTGAAGAGACCAAGTTTGGATCCTGGTCAGGCCCATCAGTATTAACAGCAAAGCGAGACCTGTGTGGAGTCATTGCCTTGGTGGGGCCCCTTTTATGGACAAGCTGAGAGCACCCACAGGGTTTCTTACTGGGACCCCAGTGGGAAAAAGTCAAAGTCAGTGCTGGCACTGCATTTGAGGAGGGAATTTGTCCTGCCTTCCTGCTTTTACAACCTGTTCCCAGGCTCAAGAGGTTGCCCTGAAGCGCTGTTTCTGCAGAGGCTTTTCAAGGGCTGGATGGGATGTTCAGCACCCCTCAGGAAATGCTTGGTGTCCATGCTGCCGTGAAGACAGCTGTGTGATGACCTTGCTGCTGGCTGTGCAGAGGAATATAAAATATGGAGCAGGAATCACCTCTCTGTGAGGAGGAAGCACCTTGAGTCGCTGATGCTGTGGTGCTCTCGTTCCTCATGGGATCCTGACCTGCACAGAGAGACACAAAATGTGAGTCTTGACCTCCAGTGACATTCAAGAACCAAAGGAATTGATGGAGAGGAGAATGGATTCACAGTAGAGCCAGTGATAGCTAGGGAAATACGCAATTAATACTCCTACCTCCATACTAAAAGCTTCCCACCAAACATACTTTGTCCTATTTTCCATGTCCAAATGGAAACCTAGGGAACCAAAATTCAAATACCCTTTTGTGAACTCTTTAGGGTCTGCAGTTCCAGGCACAGGTTTGGGGCAGAAACAACAAGGCAAGGCTGGCAGGCTGAGCTGGGAAGGTTATAGATGTGTTGTAGGTCATAAACATCAAGACTTTAAAATAAAGTCTGATTAGGGGAAAAAATATTGCAGAATATGGGTGTGGATTGACTGTTTGGCTTGTCCCTGGACTTGAAATGAGTGGAGTTGCTATGCTGGGTTATCTAGAAGTAATTAAACCTGTTTGAGCTGAACTAACTTGTACACCATGTGTAGTCTAGCTGTGGCAGCACGGAGGATTGTCCAAGCAGGGACTCCTGTTCTCAGTGGGATAAACTGCCTTGTGTGAAGCTGCTTGGTTTATGACAGCTGCTCCCAGTGCCTGTGCAAGGAAAGGTAAAGCCAGCCCTTGTGTTTCACTTGTACAGAGAAAAAACATCCTTTGCTGCCTCCAGGCTGTTGTTGAACAACCGGAGTGTCTACATCAACCTTAATGAGCAGCTACAGGCCCTGTCAGGAGGCTCAAAGTGATACTTCAGAGCCTCACAAGATCATCTGTAGGTCAAGTAGGATCTTCTTCCCTGCTTTCCCATGCCCAGGTTCCCAGCAGCAGCGCTGGCCAAGGGGATGTGGTGCCTGGAGAGGTGTGCACAGCTCCTGGCACTGCCCAGGGAGCAGCTGAACCCAGGTCCTGTCCCACACCAAACATCCCTGATTTGGAATGGCATTTTGCCAAAAGCCAGAAGAAAATGGGGAAAAGGCATGAAATAATAAATCTAGCCATTTCAGAAGCCACAAGGAACAGAACAAGTCTGGAGAAGCAGGGTCTTCTGCTGTAAAATTTTTTCCCCAATCATCAAATCCTTTGTTTAATTATGAAATTGTTTTTCTAGCCACAGGCAGAAGCTATGGTTTGCCGAGTCTGGCACAGATACCCCATCCCTGGGAAGTGCTGGGTCTCACACAATGGGAGAACTGGCTTTTGGAAGCATCAGCATCTTTATTTAAAGATGTGTGGAGCTTCTCAGTGGTAAATCAGGGCTGGAATGAACAGTCTGCAATATGCTCTGAGCAAAGGGCTCCTGGCTTAGCTGGGCACAGCCCTGCTGGGTGGGCATCTGTGTGGGCACAGCTGACCACAGCTTCCTCACCTTGCTTGTGTGAGACATCTGAGAGATACTTGGAGAGGCAGAGCAGTTTCTTGACCATTGCAGATTTTTGAGGCTGAATTTTTAATGGAGAATCAGCTCAATTGTCAGATTTCAGTTTTCCAGTCACATGGATTCTGCCCTTATTCTGAGAAAATGCTTACTGAATTCTCCAATTTGTATTTACAGGTTGGGTTAAGCAAAATGTCAAAAGCAAAATTATATTTATTTTAAAAGATTTTAAAAGGGCTCCCCTCTCCCAAACACAGATCCCTTGTTTGGCTGCTAAAGTTCAACCCAGCAGAGGATGTTAAGAGCATTTATCTCATCTTTTATCACTGCTTATAAAGACACCAGATGTGATTTTGGCTGGTTCACCACCCAGAAAAGACTCATGCTTAAAGAACCTGTGCCACTGATTGCCATCAAATTATGTGATCTTATTGTTAGTCTCCAAAAGGACAAAGTACCTCGAGGTGTTGGAGGAGCTGCCGTGCTTCTGTTTCCACTGGACTTTTCATCTAGATAAAGAAAACATGGGAAAGGACAATTAACTTGGGAAGCCACTACAAATTTCACTGTGGAGAGCTGCTGGGTGTCCATGGAGCAAAAATCTTTATTTGCATGATATTTTTCTTGCAGGCAGACATCAGGGTGCCCAGTTAGCCAGGTGTGGAGTCAGCTCAGAGTGTACCTGACAGGTGAGCTTGGGAGAGGGAGCCTGGGGAGACTGGAGCAGCTCCAATATTTGATAAAGCCTGATCTGGATTTTTTCATATGGGCTTGGCCTGGCTGTGTCCATCTGGAGTGAGCTGCTCTTTCAGCAAAAAACGGAGAAATTCAATATGTGCTGAATTGCTGAAGAAGAAGCACAGTGTGGACTAGGTCAAATATTCTGGTACCTGCAGTTTGGCTTGGATAAGGAGGGAAGCACAAACAGGTCCTGCCTGAGCAAATATTTGAGTTTTCCATCCTTACCTCGCTCAGTGGCTGCTGTCAGGTTTCTTGTAGTGGTGGGAGAGGGTTTGACTGTAGTAGTTTGACCCACAGAGGTGAGGCTCAGGTTGGTCAGTGGTGTTGGCTTTACTGATGGCTCTGTAGGGAAATTGTGAGGTTACTTTAAAAGGTTCAGCTCAGAAACCACTTGAAGAGGGCACAGGGATTGCAGAGCCCTCAAATTTCTCAAGAGTTAGGAATAATCTGCTAGGGAAAGCATGGAAATAGCCTTCATCCTGCTCAGAGTCAAGGAGCTCTTGTACTCTGGAATTTCCTTTTGCTCTTTTCACTGTGAGGAGATGCTGAACTGGCAGAGCTCAGCAAACACGTGGAGAAAGTCAGGGTTTGCCACTGCTTCTTTCCCTGCTGTGAAAAGTGAAGGTGTTTTTGTCACCAGACACTTGACCTGCCTGGCACCACATGATCATTTCTGTGTGTTCTGAAATGCAGCTTTCACCTTTCATTTCACTGAGAGTCTCCAAGCACAAATAATTCAGCTCTTGAAGTCGTCTGGATGCCTCAACCTGCTCCAAACTGCACCTGATCCAGAGCAAGATGTGAGGGGAAAAGCTTTCAATAATCCCTCTGCAAGGAACAGTGGATCACCAGCGGGGAATTTATAGGCAACTTCCTTGTCTAGACTGCTCTTGGCTTTCCAATAAATTGAGAAATGGCAAAATGGTTTCAAGGTTAGTGTGATGGGTTTTTCCCCCTTTGTCCAAATGTTTCACTGAAATACTAGAATTTAGTTTAAGTTTCTCCTTTTTTTTTTTTTTTTTTTTTTTTTTTTTTTTTTTTTTTTTTTTTTTTTTTTTTTTTTTTTTTTTTTTTTTTTTTTTTTTTTTTTTTTTTGCAAATCTTAGAAGCAGAAGCAGTGATCCTTTTGAGATGTTATTCCTTGATATTTCTGGGGTCCTTCTGGAAGGGTATCTATGCTTAGATTTATTTTTTTTCCACAAATGTTGCAGGAGATCTGTTTCCAAAGATTCAAGTGGACGCTAACAGATATGGAGCTGGAGAGATAACTTCTTGTGTAATTTGTTTTCTGTACATGTCAAAAATCATAGGAAGGCTTGGGTTGGAAGGATCTTAAAGATCAGCCAGGTTGGACAGGGCTGGGAGCAACCTGGGATAGTGGAAGGTGTCCCTGCCCATGGGGAATGGGATGAGCTTTAGGGTCTCTTCCAAGCCAAACCATTCTGGGGTTCCACTCTATGATCATCTCATTCTCCCTATTCAACTTAGTGATTTTTCCCCCTGGTTTTGCTCACACCTGTGCCTTGATCCCTGTGGGGTGAGTTAACTGGATCAGAAGCCCTGACACCACAACATTTCCTTCCTCCTCAGCACTGTCCTCTGCACAGCCCCAGTTACTGTGGGGTGGCCCAGCTGGACTGAGGTCAGAGCAGTTCCCCGCTGGGATGTCCCCAAGCCTCCTCAGTCTCCAGCTGAGCATTACCTGAGCTGTGGTTCTTGGCTTCAGGGCTGGGTGCTGTTGGTTGGGATGGACCTGGAGCACAAGCAGAGACACAGAAGTGACATTTCCAGGCTGGGGGGATCCCACAGAGAGGGTGTTGCATTGCGCTCAGGCCACGTTTTCCCCATTTCCCAGGACCCCTGTGACACTGATCAGATAAACCTGGACCCCCCCTTTCAGCCCCAACAGGGTTGGTGGAGAGCCAGAGAAGCCCCCCCTGTCCAGAGCCCAGATAAACCCCTGACCCTTCCTGTTCACCCTCTTTTCCCCTGCTCTTCCCTCGGACCATGCAATAAAAAGAGCTGGACAACTACATCGGGGTGAGAGCCTCTTGTGGAAATCTTTGCCCATCTCCTGATATTCCTCCCCTCAAGGCCTCGAATCTCTGGGCTAGCCTGATCATTTAGGGGCTGAGAGAGAGGAGAAATGTCAGGAGGGTTGGAGGATGGACCAGAAAGGGGCCACAGTAGCCATTGAGGGCAGAAAGGGTGAGGGGAACAAGAGACACCAAGGAGAGGGTTTGTCCCTGGTGTGGTGTAGAGACCAGCTGCACGGATCCACTGCTGCTAGGGAACAGCTGGGGAAGCAGGGAGCAAAGATGAGGCAGGATCCCTCTGCTTTCCCCAGGCTCCCTGGAACACAAACTCGCTCCCTTCTGGACAAAAGGGAGCCAAGCCAGGTCACCCCCTGGGGCACAGTGCCCTCCATGTCCCCTGGAGATCTGGGCAGAGACAGGATCCTGGGAGATCCCTCAACAGATGGGAATTTTGAATCAGGTCCCATTTGGGGTTTCTCCCCAGATTTGCATCCCTCATTTCCACGTGCATCCACATCCAGACACATAAAGCACATCATAAGGCAGAGGTACCTGTTCCAGCGGGGGTGGAGGAGTTTGTGGAAGTTGTAGAACCTGAAAGGAAAGAGCAGAATATGAGTGGTACTGATCTGTGGTGGCCACTAACATACTGCTGTTCTTGTTCCTTGTAGGGTTTGGGTTTTCCTTATCTTCTGTTGGAATGACTTTGAAATATGGGATTGCCCCAAAAGCATTAGCAGAGAAGTAATAGCAAAGAAGTTTTGCTGAGTGCAAAACTATCAGGCTCTGAGTAAACTAGCAGTGGAGTTTATCCAGCCAGGATAAATGTCCTCCTCCCCTTTGGGGGACAAAGAAATCCATGGGGTCATTCCCTCTCCGTGAGCTGTTTGCCTCAGCCCAGCCCTGGCACAGAAGGGTGTGTGATCTGTGATCTGTGATCTGTGATCTGTGATCTGTGATCTGTGATCTGTGATCTGCGTTGTGAAGCTGTTCAGAGGTAAGACACACATCTGAACACTTTGTTCCCTTGAGACCTTAAAGAATGGATGGATGAGGTTTGCAAAGGCTTCCAGGAGCTGATGGGACTGTTCTCCTTCCTATCCTGAGTGTCCTGGGAAACTGAAGCCTGGGGCTGTGGGTCTGGAGGGAGCTGCAGCCCTCAGGAGCTGCCTTCCCTGTAGGACTGGGTAGTCCTGCAGGTCCATATAAGGTTGTAGGTGTTCACTGGCTCCCCAGGTCCTCAACTGAAAGGTGGCTTTGTTTGGTTTATTTGTTTGCTTTTCTTTTGGATTCATGACAAAGCATCCCTGTCCCAATCCCTCACATTTCCACTCTCAGCATCTGTGATGTTTTCTTTAAGCCCCAGGTCCCGGAGTCCATGGCTCATGAAGTCACAGAGCAGAGTATTTTGGCTTGGAAGGGAACTTTCAAGGTTGTCTAGTCCAACCCCGAGGGTTAGATGAGATGCCAATTAAAAATACTGCCCATGAAAATGGGAGAAACGTCCCACACTTGAGGACAAGACTTGGAAACTGTAAATACCCTTTTAATGCTCAAATCCAACCCAGCTGGTTTAACTTTGGGAAGGTGACTTTGAGTCTGTCATTGCTGGAATATACATCCTAATTGGGATTTTGAAATGGTTATTGCTTGTGACCCTGGTGCTCTCTGTGGTTAAGTTTAATGACAGAAATTACACTACACGTACAGAAAGCAGCTGAATCTGACTGCCCTGGTGATCCATCTCACCAGAGTCCCATGGGAGAAAAAAGATTTGGGCAGAAAGGGACAACAGAGAAGGTTGAATTCTTCCAGCACACTGTCCCTTCATGATGCCTCAGGGCTCTGTGATGGGAGCAGTGCCTTTGCAGGGGGTGCAGGGGAGGGTCCAGCCAGGGCAGCACCAGCCAGGGCACAGCAGTGCCTGTTTTCAGCCAGAACCTGCTCTCCTGGAAGGAAATTCTCCCTGGCAGGGTGGGCAGGCCCTGGCACGGGGTGCCCAGAGCAGCTGTGGATGCCCCTGGATCCCTGAAGTGTCCCAGGCCACGCTGGACAGGGATTGGAGCAACCTGGGACAGTGGAAGGTGTCCCTGGCATGGCAGGGGTGTGATGAGATGAGCTGAAGGGTCCTTCCCAGCCCAAACCATTCTGTGATTCCAGGATTTCACGCCAGGAGCTGTAGGGGTGGTGTAGATGAACTCTGGGGGAGGTCCATGAGCTGCTGGTGCCTGGGGGAGGCTGAGGGCCTGGGCAGGGAGGGGTGTCTGGAAGGAGACCCTGAGCCCCGAGTGTGGTTCTGGCTCAGAGCTCACCCTCAGCACCCTCTGGGTGTAGCGAGTTCCTGATTGATCTCATTTTCCTCATGGAATTGCTCTGGAGCCACAATTGTTTTCATGTCTGAGGCTTTATGACAATGATCCCAGCCAGACAGGAAGTGTGTAAACCATGGTGAATACATAATAAAATGTGGTTTATTCCCAGACATGGCTTGGTTGTGAAAATCAGACTGGACTTTTCAGACCTTTTCTATGTTTTTCTCTTCTAATTCACTGGGCAGCAGGCTGGGAAAACTGTCCTGTTTAGTCCAGGAAAGAGGAGACAAGATCAGGTCTTTAATCATGCAAAGAGAAAGGGACTGGTTTATTTTCTAACTCTGTTTGGAGCAGGATCAGGAAATAAGGACCTTTATGTGCAGCAAGGAAAGGGGAGGCTGGGAAATAGGAACCAGCCTTAGCACAGGGCTAGTGAGGTGCTAGGAGTGATTGTGTTGGAGAATTTATGGGATATCCTTCCCTGGGGGTTTTGAAGAGCAACTTAAAGGAGCATCAGGGTGATGCCTCAGGTTTGAGCTTTTCTATTTTTCAGATTCTGTGCTGCTTTAGTGTGTGGGTCTGAGCTTCACATGAGGTGATGCTGAGCTCTCTGCACAGAGCAGGGAGACAAAACAATTCCTTCTCCAGCTGGGCACCAAGGACAAATGATCCAAATCTCAGCCCAGGAGCACAAACACCGTGGGCTGGAGAGAGAAAAACAAGCAGGACGGGACTGCCTGGGCTGAAGCTGGAATGGGACAATGAACTCCAAGGTGCCAATGGAGCAGAACTGATCCCAGGGAGAGCCCCCGGGAACGCTCGTGCATTTTGGGACCATTTTGGGTCATCTTGGGTGCAGCCCTGGCTGGGCTCTGGTGCTGCCCAAGGTGGATCCATGAGGAGATCCTGTGAATAAATCCCTGCTTTATTCTTTAACTCTGTCCAGTCTCTGTTCTAGGTCAGCCTGCACAAGGCATCAAGGGTAGTAACAGACAGGGTTATGGGCATCTGTACCATCACCTACTGAATCAATTAATATAATGGGAAAAAAGAATGTTTTAAGCATATGTTTGCCCTTCCTCAAGAGGTAGAGATACTTCTTTTGAGGAAAGGGTATGATTCTGGATTTGTTTTGAAACTGCCTTATGATACTCTCTACATTCAGCACAAAAAATAAAGTGCTGAGATCATCATGAGGGTCAATATCCTCCAGCAGCTGCCAGACTCAAACAGCTCCCCTTTCTCCAAACTTCCCTTGCAGGACCCATTGTCATGTTTTCATGAGGGGAGAAGTAGCTGTGGCACACTTATGGAAATGCTCCCAGTTACTTTTTCATGGACATGGTGGAAGCACCCAGAATCGCTGGGGACAGAGCTGCTGTCTGCACCTAGCCTTTGCCAAAGGAAGAGGGGAAATGAAGGTGCTGAGCTGGACATTTATTGCACCATTTTTGGTGCAGATGAGGAGAAATCCGAGAGCTTGAACAGAGCCTCTGGGAATGGGAGGAAGTTGAGGGCGAGAGAGATGGCATTGCCCTGCTCTGCCATCTCTGATGGGACCATCCATGGGACAGCTCCAGCGTCCCTTGGACAGGAGGATTGTACTCAACACTTTCTTCACTGCAGCTCATCCTGTCACTGAGAGTCACACTGGAGACCTTCTGAAGTTCTCTGTTTGCAAACCTAAACATTGTGGTTATTGTAAAAAAGATAAAAAAGCAGTTTTTTCCTACTGCTCAGTTCCCAGAACTCCTGTGGCTGGGCTGATGCTTGCCCTGCTCTGGAGAGGCTGAGGGCTGGAGATCCCTTCTGGCATTCTGCTCCGGAATAAACGGCCCTGCTTCTCTAAACACATCCACACTTCATTTCCAAGTGCAGCAGGCCTGGCTCCAGCTTCTGGCTGCTGCTGCTTGTAGTGCCTTCCCTGCCAACTCAAATAAGCAAAAAACTCTGTTCTATTGGGTGTTTTCTTTTGGGGAAGGTGCTCAGCATCCCCAGTCCCACAGGAGAGGGCTGGATCCGTGCAAGGCAGAATGAGACCAAGCTCCCATTGTGGGGTTGGGCACAGGATGGGGTGAACACAACGCGCCACGTGTCACGGCCCCCTGCAGATATCCCAGGGGATTCTGGAGTTGGAAACCATTCCCTCCCAGGCTGCTGCCAGCACAGAGAGCCCTGGCTGTATAAACAGCTCCCAGCAATAATCAGGACACGGCTGGCGCAGCTGGAATTGCAATAAACATCAAAGCCCTTCCACAAGGGCAGGCTCTGCCAAGGAGTTCGTTGCGTGTTTGGGTGCAAAGGATTTACAGCTGGATTGTGCAGTCCTGGGTGGAGACTGGGAGCTGGCTGAGGGATTTACGATGGGAAATACGGCTTTGCGCTCCTGCTGTCATGGGAAAGTCCCAGTTAGACACCAGAGCTGCGCGGCTGCGGAGCAGCACGTCGGGGCTGCAGCTGCATTTCGCGCTCCGCGCTCGCTGCTTTCCCTTTTCCAAAGGGTAAACAGGAGAATTGTGCATTCCTGTTTTTGGCAGTCGTTTTTCTGTGGAGTTAGGGGGGCCAAAACGAACCGGAACCCTCCGGCAAGGCAACCAAAAAGGTCCCAAAACCAACAACCCAACCCAACCAACTCCCAACAAAAAAAAGGGGAAGGCAAACAAAAGATGGATGAATTTTAGGTATTTCTGCTTTGGTATTATTTTTGGCAATTGTAGACATTTAAAGCGTGGTTTTTCCAGCTGCTGACCAAAGAGAGGGACTACTTTAAACCCCCAAACTTTGCCGTAGAGACCTGAGCTAGCTGTTGGAAAGATTTCAGCAGAGTTTAGATCAGGCTTAAGACAGGCTTGTGGTGTCCAGCCTGTGTTCATGGAAGGCTGGAGTCACTGGGGAGAACCTCTGGCACTGGTGTGGGTCACAAGGAGTGCTCCTGTCCACTCAGCACTGCTGAAGGGGAGGGAGCATCTATTCCCAGTGACAAGGAACCCTGGACTCGTCCCTTCCTGGCAGTTTTGGGGGATGTCCCACCTGCAGAGCCCACGGGGCAGTGCTGCACCTCTGTGTCACCCTGTGCTTTCAGAAAAGAGATCCATCAAGCTAAAAATACGCTTTGCAACTCAGATATTGGCACTTCTGTCAGATGACCCAAGACAAAAAAACCCAAAAACAACCACTTTACACAGATGCAGCTGTTTCCTGGGTAAAACACAGCAGCAGTGAGAAACATCCAATTCTTAGGACATCCACATGGAAAGAAATTCTCTTTTAGGAAACCTGGAAAGCAGAGAGTTCTACCAAAGCCTAGGTCCTGTTTTATTAAGTGCCTAAATAAGGTGTCTCTGCCTTGGGGGTCTCACAGCAGAACACATGGGGTGGGAATTGTGGAGGAGAGAGAGGAAAAGTGTTGTTCTGCACGGTGGATAACTGACAGCCCAAATCAGGGCCAGATCCACAGAAGTGTTCAAGTGCCTAATTCCCAAATGGCATGGGGGGTTGGCAAGTGGCTGCCAAGTTGCTCTGAATTGTAATGACTCAGTCAAAGAGTTATGGAAAGTTTAGAGAGCCGGGAATTAATCCCGGATCTCATCAGCAATTAAAATTAATCACTGCCTTCCTCTGCCTGTCCTCAAGGGCTGGGCCTGGGCATCCTCTCCATGCACAACATTCCCTGCTCCTCTCTGGTGAGCTGGTCTGGAAGCAGATCTTAGTGGGAGGCAATGAAAACCCACTTGGATGTAGAAACAGCCCAGGAGAAAAACAATGTGGGGAAGCTGCGAGCACAGAGTGGCTCTGCTGCACCCCTGTGCTGCCCAGGGCTGGTTTTTCCATGTGAAGGGGTTGTTCCTGGAAGAAAAAGCAACCTGACTTTTCTCCTGGCTGCGCCCCCACTGCTCCACCAGCCTGCTGCTCCATCGCCCTCACAGCGACTTGCTGGTTCCAGTTTTCTCCTGCCCTGCTTATTTTACAGCTCCGGGTTTGCTCCTGGTGATGTGGGTCCTGTTCTTCCCCTGCCCGTGCTGCTCCTCAGGTTTGGAGCTGGGTCTGGGATTTTGGAGGGGAAATCACTCCATGCCCAGTGCAAATGAAAAATGGGGGCACCACCAGTCCAGGCTCGCTGGGACCTGCAGCCCATCCAGTGCTTTTTGCCTACCTACAGTTTTTTAATAATATTATTTATTAGCAGAGCTCAAAGCAGTTTACAGAGGAGACTTTCCAAGTGTGTTCCCAAACTGAATATTCTTTCCAGTGATTCTGAGATTCCCCAGGTTTATTTGAGTGCTGCTCTGTGGTGTTTATGAACCACCAAGCAGGAATGTGATCTACTGGGACTGGTTCAGGAGACAAGGTGTGAAAGGGGCTGGGCTGGTGGCTAAAAGATTTCATAGAAATCCTGTTCTTTCCACCTGCTTTTCTTGAGTGCCCTGGCTTGAGTCCCAGGGGAGCACTTGAAGGATAAACCTGCCTGGACAAGGTTCCAGTCTCACAGAAGCAACAGCTACATAAAGCATTTTGGCCTGACAATTCATCTGAGTCCAGATTTTGGGTGAATGACCCAGGTTTTACTCCCACATTTCCTAACTCTTCATGTACCCCCCACATCTCCTATCCCCACAGCGTGGGCAGCAGGGCGGGGGGGGTTCTGCCTCTCTGCCTCACTCAGGTGAGACCTCACCTGCAGAGCTGCCCTCCTTCAGATTAAGGACATTCCCCCTTGTCCCGTCCCTCCATCCCTTGTCCCCAGTCCCTCTCCAGCTCTCCTGGCAAGGCTCTGAGCTCTCCCTGGAGCCTTCCCTTCTCCAGGGGAGCACCCCCAGCTCTCCCAGCCTGGCTCCAGGGCAGAGCTGCTCCATCCCTCTGACCATCCTGGTGCCTGCTCTGGACTCCAACTTCAGCTTTTTCCTTGTTGAGGTGGTTGGGTTGTGCTGGGTGGGCTCCTCTGGGAACTGGGGCTGGGAGAGCTCCCAGCTGGGACTTTGCTGGTGCTGCAGAAGCCCCAGCTCCCTTCTCCAGCCTGGCTTCCAGGAACGCTCCTGGCTTTGGGACACCAGCAGCACCTCCTGCAAGGACACCTGTTGTTGACTCACCTATTGTAAATGGGACAGAATTCCTGGAAGCTGCTGCAGTCAGATCTGCAGAGTCGCTGAGGGGTTTCGTGTTACCGAAGGGAGCAGTTTGTTGTGTGAGCAAACATTTCTCCAAACCACCTCCTGCTTTCTCTTCCTTGTTCACCACCTCAGGGCTGGGCTGGCCTCACCCTTGGCTGAGAAATCTGCTTCAGGATGCCCTGCTTTGAGGATGCAGGTCTGGAATCCGGGTGCCTGTCCTTTAGCTGCACCCCATCTTTCTGATTATACGAAAAATCTATCTCAAAACACATGTCTGCTTTTGAAATGCCACATTTCTCGTGGCATTATCCACCCACGGCTGTGGCACTGATAAGGAGAGCAGTGGATGGAACAACAACAGTGGGAAATCCTGCTGGGTTTTCATCAGCTTTGAGGAGGAATTTTTCAGTGGAAATCTTTTGTCTGGAAAACGCCAGCCCATTGTAATGGAAAGGGTCTATAGGAAGAGGTTTGTTTGGACAAATTTTCTGCTAAGTGTTTCTAGGGGGAGGAAAACCACATTGGAAATGTGCCAGACCTTCCCAATTCAGCAATTTCAAAATAACAGTTTGAACTTCCCTTATTCAAATCTCCCTTCAGAAATAACCATGAGAATTAAGAAATTTAATTTAGGAAATGATAAATTAATAAAATACTGAATTTGCACCAAGCAAAAGCGAGAAAGGCCTGTGTGAGTGTCCAGCCAAAGCTGATTCTCTGTCTCCTCAAGGTTACATCCACCTCCCCCAGAGCAGGCAGTCTTGTTCCAGAGCCCCTAATTCCCTTTTCCAGCTGCTGGTGTGCCGGGAAAGCAGCGGCACCACGGAGCCCAGCTGCCCCTCTCACTAAGCTGCTGCTTTGCCTTGTGCAGAAGCTTCCCCCAGGGGCTGCGCCACCTTTGGGACTTGCTGTAAAATTAAAAATACAATTAAAAAGCCATTCTGGGGCTGTGGGATCAACGCAGAAGAGGGAGGCAGGACATTCCAGGGAAGGCAGGTTTGGTGGGAGAGGTGTGACCATGGAGGGGGACAGTCCCTGGCCCTGATTTTAGACAGGTGGACTGAGAGGACAGAGTGATGCTGTCCAGACTGAAGGATGGAGGATGGCATCTCTTGCACCAGGTGCTGTTGGGAGCTGGAATTCTGGAATTCTGGGCAGTGCCTCAGGGATTCTCACTCCGTGGATCTTGGTGGATCTTGGTGTGGTGCAGCCCAGCCAGGGAAGGGGCCTGACCCCCTCTGTGCCATTGCTGTCCCATAAAAGCCCCTCCAAGAAGTTTTAAAGGGGAAAGCAGTGTTCTGGGTAGGCATTAAGGAGTGCCACGGGGTGGCCAAGGAACTCCAAGCCCCTTGATGTGATCCTTGCTCTGATCCCAGGCACAAATCCCCCCTCTGCTGAAGGCAGCAGTGTTGGCCTCTAATGAAGAGAGAAAATTTCCAATCCCTGTGCTCTTGTTTCTTAGAATTATACAGCTACAAATTGAATTGCTTGCTATATTCTATGGAATGAGATGATCTTTCCTTTCCAACACAGACCATTCTATGATTCTCTGCCTTTTAAAAATCCCATTATTACCAGCACAGTGGCTGTAACCCGAGGCAGCTTCTATGGTTTAATGATAAAACCTCGGAGTTGGAGACATATTATTTTATATTCCTTTGAATGTATTCCAGCTCCCAGCTACTACAGCTGTCAGCAAGGCAAGAGGGGCCTGACAATGCAGGGAAAAGCAACCTGTCATCCTTTGGAGCAGGAAACCAGTTCCTTCATCCCACACCTCGACTCAGATGGGAAAGAGAAGTTAAAGAATAATTACCCCAAAGCAGCAGAATTATTACAGCAAGGACGAGATGTACTCTGCACGAGCCTTGCACATGGGCTTTGCATTGATATTAATGAGAGCAAAAAGTAAAAATAAAAACTATTTTTTGAGGAAAACAATGTCCTGTACATTGAAACATTCCACCTTGACTCTTATTTGACAAAAGTCACTTACTCCAAACGCCTCAGCAGAAACACTCCTTTCATTAACCTGCAAACAAATCTTTGCATTCCAGCAGTCCAAACAAGCCCTGTACATCTTGTTATGAACAAAACAGCCTTGCTGGGACACTTTGGCTCAAACTAAGTACTGACATTGAAATGTTAATTAGCTAATTGCTCCTTGGAATCACCTACCCCCCCCCCCCCCCCCAATACCATTCTAGGACTGGGATAGAGAGCAGTCTAATCATGGGAGAGCAGTGGAATCATGGGAGGGGGTTTTGGGGATGAAAAACACCCCTACATGGAAAAGATGGGCACTGTGGAGGGGGCTGGATGGGTGTGCTGGTTGGGGAAAAGGGAACCCCATCCCTGGTCTGTGTTTAACCTGTCACCATAACCTGCAGAGGACCAGACTGGACTGGGCTGTGGGATGCAGGTATAAATGAACAACTCTTTCTGGTGTTACCAGGAGGGCAGGAGAGGGATAGCTGCTGCTGGACCTCGGCAGCAGGCTCTGTACATCCCCCCACCCTGCGGGTACCACTGTGCCAGGAGGAAAGGAGAGAGGACGGTCTGCTGGGACTGCAGATACAGACTGCACACCTCTTCACCTCCAGCTACCAACCAGTGTGCCACGGAGACCCCAGGGGCAGACTCTGAGACAGACTCTGCCACCTTCTCCCCCTTACAACAGCGGGGGCGAGCTCCGTGTCGAACCCCCTGCCCAGCGGATCTTTTTAATAAAGAGCCGAACATTAATGAAGGCACAGACGCTGTTCATTACACACCTGACAGAGCCGCGTTTTCCCCGGCTGTGCCACCCCTGAGCTGCAGGGCTGAGCTCTCCAGCGGCAGCTCCCAGCCTCTGCCCGGCTGCCTTCGGAGCCCCCCGTGGAGCCCCCCAGATCCCCCCGTCCCGGCCCTGCTCCCCGGGGCGCGGAGCAGCTCACCTGGGAGCAGCTCACCTGGGAGCAGCAGGAGGAGCCCGAGCAGCGGAGCGAGGGCCGGGAGCAGCATCTCCGCGCCGGCCCGCGGCTGGCCGAGCGTCTGGCCATGCCGGGAGGGACCGCGAGCCGCGAGGCCCCTGCCTGCGCTGACTCGCACCGCTTCCTGTTAAAGAATAGGAGGAAACGGGCTCAATCCACAGGGGAACTGTGTTTTTCAGCCCATTATGGCCGGGGAGGATGTGAGACATCGCTCACCGGCGGCATAGGAAACCTCGCCGGGCTTTGCCGGGGCTCGGCTCCCGCTCGGAGGGATGCCCTGCTCTGGGAATCAGCGGCTTCCTTACGGCGCTGGGATTTTTTTGGAAGGTGTTTTGTGTGTGGTGTGATGTGACCCAGGTCCAATCCCCCCCACATAAGCCTCCCTGGGGTGAGTTGCTGGAGGAGCCTCCCTGACACCTGAGAGGGGGTTTCTTACACATCTATGAGGAATTTAGGAATAAGTGCTCCTTGTGGGGCCAGGGTAGCTCAGCATCTGGGCCTGCCCTGTGCCCTGTGCCCCCCTGGGCAGCTCCAGCGAGTCTGGTGCTGGGACATGCCAGCTTTGGGATGGTGGCTTTGGGATGTCCCTCTTCGGGCAGCACCCTGCAGGACACACAGCACATACTGGGCTTGGACCTACCCCATTCCTGGCTCCTGGAGAAGGGCAGGAGCTGCAAAACTGGGCTGGTTCTGCCCCCGTCCAGCCCGAGGGGTTCAGGCATTTGGTTTCTTGGCCCTGACCTTGTTGTGCTGCTCCGTGCAGGTCCTGCCTGTCACAGTGTGAGCCCCAGAGGTTCTGGTTTATCCTGTGCTGGATGTCAGTGGGGGTTTGCAGGAGGAGAAGCATTTTGTGTCTCCACCTAGGAAAGGTTCCTGTGTCCTTCTCAGAGGCTCTGTGTGGGTGTTCAGGATGCAAAGCCAGAGGATTCTGTCTGCTGGCCTGAGGGGCTGGTCCAGCCCCCTCCCACAGCCCCCAAAAACCACAGAGCCTCAGCCAAAGGCCGAGGAGCTTCTCCTTCACTGCATGGAGAGCATTAAGGGTGTCCTATGCTGCCAGCAGAGTCCCTGTTCCCACTGCTGGCAGACAGCAGCAGCACTGGAGGGAATGATCCCCCATGCATGGCACAGCCCCTCACATTCTGTGGGTCTCTTCTAACCCCCCCAAACCCCCGGGAAAACCACCAGGCCCAAGGCTGGTGGCCTCCACAGCAGCCTTGCTGGGACAAACCCCCTGCCAGCAGCCCCCCCATCCTTTTGTCCCTTGCACAGATGTGATGCTCAGAGATTATGCTGTAGATTAAGGTTTTACTGAATCCTGAAATGAGTGCAAATACCCAGAAGCTCACCCGCAGCTGAATCTCTTCTGGATGCTCGGCTGGATGGGAAAAGGCATTTCCCACTGTGTCCTCCCCACATGCAGGAAGGACAGAGCCTTGATATTCACCCCAGCCTGTCTGCTGAGAGCCTGCAGGTAAGAGCAGGGGTGTTTTGGGGTGGAAGGATGGGAAGATGAGTTTTGTACTGGCTGGAACTCCCAGGGATCCATGTTTTCTGCTCTGCAATGTGCTCAAGGTCACTCCTGGGGCAGGGGGATGACACGTGTGAGGGGAGGGATGTGCCAGCCCTGACCTGCCTCTAGCTCCTGCCTGTGACCCCCAGCAGCTCACACAATCCTTTAGGATAGAAAAGCCTCCAAAATCTTTGAGTCCAACCACTGAACTGGAGGCCCAAAGCATCCAGAGCCCCCCATGGACTCACCCCACAGCCATGCTGGCAAATGGGCAAATTCTGCAGCAGTGGGACCCCCGGCAGGGACCATCATCCCCGGGGCGCCACCCCTGGGGACAGGGCCCTCCCAGCCCGGGGCACAGCGCGGGGACACCGTGCCGGGCTGTGCCAACAGCTCACATGCCGAACGGGATTTTTTACACCCATTCCTTCACCCCGTTCGGTTTTCACGCCCCGCCGGTGGCAGCAGGGAGGTTTCCTGCGGCCGAACGGGGGAGGAAGGGTGCTTCTCCCCAGACAAAAGGGCCTTGTCCCGCGGCGGGGCGCAGGAGGGTGGCAGCGCTGATGTGGCAGCGGGGACGGGAGCGGCGCGGCCCCGGGACGAGCGGGCGCTCCCCGCGTGCCCCGGGAGCCCCGGCGGCGGCGGGGCCGGGCCGTGACGTGGCAACTTCCGAGGTGAGCCCGGCTGCACCTTCACCGCAGAACCACCGCAGCCCGTGCTGCTCGCCCCGCCGGCACTCCCCGCCCCGCCGCCGGAGAGGATGATTCCCAGGCAGCAGGGACAGCCAGGTACCCCGTGGGGCTGGCAGGGCTCTCCTTCCTTCCCCTCCCCTTGCCCCCCTGCTCCCACCCGCGCTGGCTCCACGGGATCTTAGCTCTGGGACGACTGACGGGGCTGGGTCCCCCTGGGAGGTTCCCGTGGGGTTTGGTCGTGGATCAGCACCGTGGGGCTGGGGGTGGAGGGGGGAGGGCTCCCCACAAGAGCCACGTGTAGTGTCCAAAGGTGCCCACGACAAGGGGCTGCAGGGATTGCCTGGTCCCGCAAGCCCCAGACTGCCACACCAAAACTTCTCCTGAGCTGCGAGCCCAGGGAGGGGACGCTGATGGGACGGCCCCATTCCCTGGCAGCTGCACATGGGGCAGGAGCTGCGGGCTCGAGGGCAGATGGGGACAGGGACGGGCTCGGCTCGGTGGTCACCGCCCGTGTCCCCGTGCCAGGTCACCCCGCTGAGCCATGAACGCCTCGGTGCCCGGCAGCCAGCTGAGACAGGCCGAGCCCCAGGACGTGGCCGCCTTCACTCCCGTCTCCATCGTCAAGAGCGTGACCAAGAAATCGGACGCGCTGCCCGTGATCTCGGTGATCGTGGTGCTGTTCGTGCTGCTGGCCGTGTGCATCGTGCTGGCGGTGCACTACGGCCCGCAGCTGCGCACCGTGCAGCTCACGCTGCAGCACGGGCCCCCGGCGCAGCACCCCGACAGCGTGCTCCTCACGGACTGGAGGCCCCTGGACACCCACAGCAAGATGGACTCGGCTGCAGTGACCTGCCACTGCTCCTGCAACCACCACCTTCCCCACGGCAGTGCTGAGCCCAATGTCATCGAGATCACCTACCTGTGACACGGCCCGGGCCACCCGGGCAGGGCTCGAGGGACACGTCCCACTGGAAAGGCTGGGATGGGATGTTCGTGCATCCCACACTCAGGGGCTGCACCTCTCCAGACCCGTGTCTGGCCCCAGGAATGCTCAGGAGGTTCAAGACCCATCTCCAGCCCCCAAAAGTCCAGCCCAGGGGTGCCACTGTCCCCAGGCAGGAGCTGGGTCCCAGCCTGGGCTCTGGGGCTGACTCAGCCTACGTGGGGCAGCTTTAGCCTCTCTTCTGGTTTTACCTGCCCTGGTTTTACCTGTCCCACGCTGCCTGGGAGTGGCCAGCAGAGCTGCCTCGGTCCTTGCCTCATCTGGGGAGCTCTGGGGCTGTGCTCGGCCCCCTGGCAGTAGCTGGAAGTTGCATCATGTGGAATTGTTTTCCAGTGAAAGATGTTTCCACACTCAGGGTGTCCTCGTTACACTGTTTGTATGAGAAGCTTCCAGCCGCTCTTTGCCTCATGGCACAGCCCCTTTTCCCACGCTGGGGGGCTGGAACATGGTCCTGCCCCTGCCAGCCCCCCCAGCCCCCCGGGCAAACAGCCAGAGGAGAGGAGGGCAGAGGAAGCAGCTCCTGATTCAGTGTTGGGTGGAGCCAGTGACAGGGGACAACGTGTCCTGTCCCCAGTGGAGGTGGGTGAGAGAAGAGCAGTGACACAGCAGAGGCAGGAAGTGAGAATGGCACATCACAGCTGGCTGAACATCTGGAGGTGCTCAAGTGACTCTGGGTAGAGCCTGCAGCATCTCTGTGCAAAGGGATGGGGAGACCTGAGGTCACCCTCACTGAGGTCACCCTCACTGTGGTCACCCTCACTGTGGTCACCTCTCTGTCCCCATCCCTGACTGCTGTCCCAAGGAAGGAGCGATGGTGGCGTTGGCACTGTCACCCTCGGTGGGGTGATGCTGAGGTGGCTCTGTCACGCTGGGAGAACCTCGCTGAGGCGGCACAGAGGGATCAGGAGAGGTGAAACCTGAGCCCTGCAGGCTCCTGGGGGTGTCAGAGCACCGTTCCTGTTCAGCCCAGGGATCTCCACAGTGCCAGTTTCTCCTCCCGTGGTGGCTGCAGGACCTCGGTGTCTGCATTGCCTGGGGAGGAAGCAGCCTCTGAGATCCCCCCGAGGATTTATTCTAGGACAGCCCCAAAGTCAGGATACAGCTTCCACCTCTGCCACTCAGGAAAAGCCAGGTCTGTGTCTGCCCTCAGATCCCTGGCAAAGATCCCTGTGGGCACAGCTGGACAAGAGATGGGATTCCCCTGTTCCTCCAGGGGCTGGAGGTATTCCCGATGTGCCAGATGCTCCAGGATCCTTCCTCTCACTTATTTCCAGCCCTTCTCTTGCTTTAAAGCTGGACTTGCTGGAAACTTTTTGTCTCCACAACAAACATAATTTATATTGCGTTTCGGGAGGATTGTTTTCTGTTTTGAATTTGCTCCCATTTGCTTTCCAGGGCTGATAGGACATTATCAGCTCTCCCACACTCATGTTAGAGGAGATAAGGGCTGTCATTTCCATTGACAGGCCTGGAGTCCTGCTCCCCTTTCCATGTCAAAAGAGGGCTTTGTTTGCAATGCCTATATCCCTAACAGCACCCCTGAGGAGATAATCACCTCTAGGGACTTCTCCTAATTAAGAAATCCTCCCTAAGAGAGTGCTGAGGCCCTGGCACAGGGTGCCCAGAGCAGCTGGGGCTGCCCCTGGATCCCTGGCAGTGCCCAAGGCCAGGCTGGACAGGTCTGGGAGCAGCCTGGGACAGTGGGAGGTGTCCCTGCCGTGGCAGGGGGTGGGTGACACTGGATGGGATTTAAGGCCCTTTCCAACCCAAACCATTCCATGATCTCTTTAAGTGACATCTGTGGGTTGTGGTCACCCAGGAGCTGGATAAACCCCTTGTGACCATCACGGGATCTGCACTGTGACACCCAGAGAGGCTGCACCCTCCTCCTGGGGACATCAGCTGGT